CGTCTCCCTATCTGGAGGAGCCTTTCACCCCGCTTTTTTGTTGGGTTTGGGGGGAGGGATGCGATTTTAAAAACCCCAGCCCTCCCATTTTCCTCTCTGGGGAATATTTCCAAAATGGACCCCGGGTAGGTTCCGCGGGTTCCACCCCACGTCCCCTGGTCGCTCCTCCCACCATCTACAACCCCCCTCCCTCGTTTCCCCCCCAAGTCAGCACCAAATTTTCGAACTCATTTTTGCGACGAAAAAGCATTGTCCAGATTAGAGAGTTGTTGGGGAACAGTTGGGACGGTTATGGGAGGGGATGTTAAATATTACCTAACATTTTCATTCACTCCCCCCGCCCCACCCCCACCCCACACACAATTTAAAAGAATGGGAGAGAGGAAGGCAATTCCGTGCAATGAAAGCCATAAAGTAAAATAAGAACTTGCATCTCAGCGATGAAATAAGGGAATTCTGTGCTTGGTCAGGATCACCTGCCTCCCCCCAGATATTCAGATAGAAATGGGATCTTGTCTCCATTAGGTTTACGAGTCCAGAAATGATCAATGTGGCCTAAATCACAAAAAAAGGTGAATTAATTATTTGGAAGTCATGTGTGGTTCCCAGACTGGCCTCTTGTACCCATGATATGGTCAAAATAGCTGGGAATGGGGTTGGGGGAACCCACAGGGGAAAAATAGAGGCTCGGACGCCCATTCCACCCTCCTGGGGTCTGGGTCAGCAGCATGGTGTTGTTCCTACACCAGGGGTTGAAATCAGAAGTCTGTGCCCTGGATGTCAGTGTGTTCTCCAGACTGCAGAGGTACCCAGAAGTGTTTGGGGCTGTCTACATGTGCACAGTGAAAGGCTGATGTAGCCATATTCTAGAATGTTCAGGGCTCCACACAGTGTTGTCAGAGAAAATGTGTTGCTCCTGAGGCTTGCTGGTGGGTGTTGCTTTGTGGAGTTACCGCTTGGCCTTCTGCTTTGGCCCTTTCAGCTCGAGGTCTCTCGGGACACCTCTCAAGCCCTCTTAGCCAGGCCTTGGCTGCTCTGTCACGCCGACTCTCAAACTTGCAAAGAGATTTCGATGGGTAGGGTACCGGGACCCGAGCCTGGTTCCTTCAGCCAAGCCTTCATGGTCCATTTCAGCCTGAATGTCCTGGAGACTTCCCAGAGCCCCCAGGAAGAGGGACAGCATCGCCCAGGAACTGTGAAACTTCTGCTTTAAATGCTTAATGTCGGCCCGCAGACGGAAGGGTCAAGGACGTATCGCCATGGCAGGCTCCATCCCTGGCCCTGGTCAGGGCGTGAGTGTGTGCAGGAGGCAACCAATGGATGTCTCTCTCTCACAGAATGTTTCTTTCTCTTTGACTCTCCCCTTTCCTTCCACTCTGGCTAAAAAAAATAAATGAAAAATATCCTCTGGTGAGGATGAACAGCAACAACAAAATGCTTAAGAAAAAATGCCATTGGAGGCTTTTT